CTGAAAAAGAATATATATGTATAACTGAATCAATTTGCTGTAAACCTGAAACTAACACAATACTGTAAATCAACTATACTTCAATAAATTTTTTTTCATTTTAAAAAATATTTGTCACTTGTAAAGCATACTGTGAGAAACAACATTCAATGATTAAACCATTACTAATATTTTTTAAAGTGTCATTTTTCCACAAATTAACCTGTACACTTCAATGCAATCCAAAATGAAAATTTTTAATTTTTGAGGAACTTATCAAACTTAAGCTAGAATTTATATAAAAGGATAAAGGTCCACAGTCAGCTATGTCAACCCTTAAAAAGGAGAGTAAAGAGAGGAGACTTAAACTACTAGATATTAAGATCTGCCTCAAAGTCATCATATTACAACTGGAGAGGTATTAGCACAAGAACAGACAGACCAAGGAAATAAAGAGCTCAGAGACAGAGCTCAGATGTGCAAACTTAACACAATAAAGCTGGTATCACAAGTCAAAGAGGGTGAGAATGGATAGCTTGGTAGATGTTGTTGGGAAAACTGGCTTTTCATGTGGATAAAAACAAAACTGAATCTTCATGAAACACCATATACAATGGTATCAGTTGGATTAGAAACCAAAGTGTGAAAGACAAAATCATGAAGCCAATAAAAGAAAATGTAGGTGCATATCTTTGTGACATGGGTCAGAAAGGCCTTTTTCAAAACACAACTTGAAAATTGTAAACCAGGAGGCAAAAATTTTTTTGAATATATAAAAAGTAAGACTTTATACTCAAGGAAGGATATCACACATAATATTAATTGTCAGATAGCAAAATGAGAAGATATATTTAAAATATCTACAATTGGGCTTCCCTGGTGGCGCAGTGGTTGAGAGTCCGCCTGCTGATGCAGGGGACACGGGTTCGTGCCCCGGTCCGGGAAGATCCCACATGCCGCAGAGCAGCTAGGCCCGTGAGCCATGGCCGCTGAGCCTGCATGTCTGGAGCCTGTGCTCCGCAACGGGAGAGGCCACAACCTGCGTACCGCAAAAAAAAAAAAAAAAAAAACACAGGGAGATAAAAGATACTCATTGTCCAAGAATACACTTGAAAGGTACACATTAGAACGGTGAAGGGGAGGACAGGAATAGGAGGTGGGAAAAGAACTAAAAGGGAGTGAGTGAATGAATAAATGAATGAATGAAGGGCGAAAGGGAGGGGCCTGTGATGATCATGTGCCACAACCTGGGGACTATGATTATTTCACTCACTGTACCTGAGATCCAAACAGAGAAGAAAGAGGAGGTGAAAAAGGCTCTGCAAAGAAATGTGCATGTATTTATCTGCTGCCATCCTCTCCTGGCAACTGGGCCACTTGGAAAATACCAGCAGCTGCCAGACATTATTTATGGCCCTGTCTTATACCCCACAGGCACTGTACGGCCTGAGAGAAACTTCAAGAGAAAAGCAACAAATTCAGAAGTGTCCCCAACGGAATTCCCTTTTGCTACCTGTCTCTTGAAAACATTGTGGTTCTGTGATAAAATGTTGGCATTGAAATTCCCACCAAAATATTTTCTAGAAAGGAAAATGCTAGACATTTGTAAATGGCTATTAAAGGTGAAAAGTGCGATGTCCCGCTCTTAAATTCCTATCAGATTGACTTCTTACCTTTAAAAAAGTTTTGACTGTCATATAAACAGAGTTGCAGAACAATCAGACCCTGGGCAATAGCGCCACCTGTGGCGATGAGCGCAGTGAAACTGCAAATCACTGCCATGAGGAATACGAAAGGGACAAGCGCTCTGGAGGGGAGGGGAAGCAAAGTTAAGGCTTGTGTGATGTGAAGAGGGGTTCCTACTGCCAAAGGACAGGAGGAAGCACCAGCCCAGAACAGTCCTCTGTTTTTGCCAGCTTGGAAATCAGTGAACAGAACATCTTTTAGAATTGTAATACCCGGGACTTCCCTGGTGGCACAGTGGTTGAAGAATCCACCTGCCAATGCAGGGGACATGGGTTCGAGCCCTGGTCCAGGAAGATCCCACATGCTGCGGAGCAACTAAGCCCGTGTGCCACAACTGCTGAAGCCCGTGCGCCTAGAGCCCGTGCTCCGCAACAGAGAAGCCACCGCAATGAGAAGCCCATGCACTGCAATGAAGAGTAGCCCCAGCTTGCCGAAACTAAAGAAAGCCCACGAGCAGCAACAAAGACCCAACACAGCCAAAGATAAATAAATTTATTAAAAAAAAAAAAAAAAAAAGAATAGCAATACCCTAGAAAAGCTGTTTCTATCAAAAGTACTCCTGGAAAAGTGGGCAATATGTTTAACACATTTTTCTTTCCCACTTCCTAAATGAAAGTGTAATAAGCCATTGAAGAATCATCAGAGACTCGAGGCAGCCAACTCTCTGCACCCTGTGGATAACGGGATGCCGGAAGCAAAATGATGCAAGTGTCTGTGTTTCCCAAGATAGAACTTTCTGTATCGTTCTTTTCCTAGGGAGGTAGAATATTTTTATGGTTGACAGCAAAGATGTTAGAATCAGACAGAACTCAGATTAAATCATATCTCCTGAGTTCACCAACCTCAATTTCCTAATCTACAAAGTAGGTCAAAAGCACCTACCTCAGTCAGTGCTGTGAGCTTTAAATGAGCTAATGTGGATAAAACACGCTGAAACACAGTAAGCAGTCAATAAATGCTACCTATTAATCGCCATTATTGTAAAACACATACTCTTTGTCGACAATGCAAAGTACACAGAATATTTAAAGTAGAAGGTCAGTGTCTCGCAATAATCTGCCCTCTATCCTGAGTAAGAGTTTAATGATAAATGTATTTCCAGACTTTTTTTCTATCAATGTATCTAGATGAGTCAACTAATTTATTTTAATAAATGCATGGTTCTACAACCTGAATTTTTTAAAACTCAATGAACAGTATACTGTGGATACCATTTCTGCAAATATACCAAGATCTCTCTTGTTCTTTTTGAAGGCTACATAGTACTTTATGATATTTTTAATGGACTTCCTACTGAACATTTACATGGTCTCCAATTCTTCACTATTATTACCGATGCTCCAGTGAACTTTTTTACAGAAACATCTTTGCACTCCAGCCTATCCTTTAGGACAAATCGCTGGGTCAAAGGATATTTACAGTTTAAAGGCTTCCGACACATATGCCCCAAAGGCCTTACAAAACAGTACAACCAGCTGCTATGGCCGCCAGCAGAGTCATGGTCGTCTTTCAAGTCTAGTGGCACTTATCTCAAGGAGAGAGAAGTAGGTTCGTAAAGTCAAAAGTTACAGGCAAACTTCTGGTGTGGGATGAAGGGGGGGGCTGGTTCTCCATTCATATGCATCTCGTCCCCCACAGTTCCTGGGTCCTTCATGGCAGAAGTGTCTCCCAGGTTAGGGCATGGTGTGGGCATCTGTTATTTCACCCTGCTTGGCATCTATACTCTCTTGTCGCGGTGGCTTCCCCGATCTCCCTTTGGTAAATCACCCTGCTCCCATTTTATGAATACTGTTGAAACCATCAATCAAGGTGTGTTGTCTTCCCCTGGGTAGGCCACAGCTAGACCACCTTGATGCTATCTTTCCTGGGAACTGGACCTTCAGAAGAGTGAGGCAAGGACTAAAAAAGAGATTAAGGGCTTTATCATCCTGCAAATATCATCCAGAAGACCCTTTCTCATTGGTCCCTGGGTCTCCAGAACTGGTCTGTTTTCAAGCCTTGGTTCTTCAGGTCTTCCTACCTTACTGTGAGTTACACTGAAGCCTTCTGTATTCCTTCGTTATTATTATTATTATTGTACTGTTATTTTAGGCCAAGTTAACCAGAGTTGATTTCAGATATTCTAAAACAATCCCACCTGACACGGGCGGTGGGGGGGTGGGGGGGGTGGGGGGGAATGACTTGCTTCCTTGAATATTTATTTGAAAAAAATTTCCCCTTGTTCAATTCCTGAAGGGAAAAAAAGAAACATTTTTTCCTCTCCCAAAGGCCTCTTAACCTACCAATAGCAACCATTCCAAATTACTTAATATTTTATTTAAAACTTCTGGTAGAAGCTGTATTTTGGAAGGAATGAAAGAAAGAAAATCTCTGTCCTATAATGGATTTCACACACGCTAAAAACAGCTCATCCTTTTGTCCACATGAAGAGGTACTGTTTTACTGACACTATTGGAATCCACGGTAGGGCTATCTTGGAATTTTTTTTCCAAGTGGATCTTACAAAGCAAATCTGAGGCAAGGGGACAGAATTTCCTTTGTACTCTGGTAGCAACGTGGCAGGAATTTGTTTTTTCCCCTGTGCACCAAGGAGGTAATCAGCCCAAACACTCTAGCAATAGCGGTTTCATTTTAATCCCATCATCTTTACAAGGTTACAGGTGCCCTTGGAAATCATGATTAACCAGAGTGCTCCGAGCCAGTAGCAGGGGAAATGTGCTGTATATTCTACACAGGCCGCCCAGAGTCACTCCCAGGAAAGAGGAATATTATTACAGAGTTCTTCGTCTCCACTCTTAGCTCCCCAAAGTGGCAACAAGGAACACAGAGTTAGTTACTAAGCGATCACTAAGATGGTTCTGGCTCTCCAGTGCTTGGAGCGAGACTGTGAGGGAGGCAAAGTCAATTCTGGCTTCCCACAGGACAGGGCGCTGGGGGAGCTGGGTGTTATCGGATTAAGTGACTTTTAAGTGGTGACTGGAGCTACATTCTTAAGACAACAAAGGATTAACTGAGATAATGTACATAAAAATTCTTTGTACAGTGTGAAGGGTTATACAGGGCAAGATGTCATCACGGCCTTGCCAGTCGGGCTCAATGACCGTCCTGGAGTCACTGACGCCGTAAACTGGAGCAGAAGTAGCTCGGCTGCACTGGAGGAATGGGGAGACCCAACATGCCCACAGCACCTCCTGGTGGTTCTTCCCCAGAATAGCAACTTCTCCAGGCCCAGGCCCACCCCCACCTGTAGAAAAGTATCCAAGCAATATACTTACTCCCTTCGCTCTGGCTGTCTTTGTTCGAGTTGTAGACCTGGAAAACAGAAATAACATTTACTTGTGTGAATTTTATACTACCCTACAGGTTCGCTGAAGAAAACCACTACCTCTTCCTTTTCCCTGGTTTGTGCTAGACCAATGGAAGGCAATTCTGGCCCCCAAATAGAAATCCCTTCTATAATTACCTACATCCCAGTATTTACTTCAGCTCTTAAGTGTGTGCACATCAGAACCACCTCTGGAACTTTATTGTTAAAAAAAAAAAAATCATATTCCTCCTTTAATAAAACCCCAAATTTATGTTTGTATATAAACTAAAAAGGAAGAAAAAAATGTAATTAGTTACAAATCATTAAGCATTAACTGCACACCAGGCAACGTGCTAAGCAATTCACATGAATTATCTCAAATTATCTATGCAACAATTCTGTTGGGTAGGAACGGTTATTATCACTGTTTTACAGATGGAGAATTTGAAAGGCTTAGAGAGGTTAACTAAGGTCTCACAGCTAGTACGTGGCAAAGTCTGGACAGAGATACATTACAAACTCTTAAGTGCTAACACTGGGGAATGAGACCAATCATTTTTTACTTCATATACTTCCATAAATTTGAATGTTATAAGGAGAATATATTACTTTTACAATAGAAAACGCTTTAATGATTTACAGAATTCATAAAAGGGAATGTACCCCAATAAAAAACAATGACACACTGAAAGAGCTGGCAAGCTTTTTCTTGTAAAGGACAGGTTGGTAAATATTTTAGGCTTTGCAGGCCAGGAGGCAAAAGTCAAATCAATGATATTATACAGGTACTTGTAAAACAAGAGAGAAGACAAATTTCCGCAATTTTTTCTTGACAAAATTCAAAATATAGTAAGTTTTTGAGATATAGGTATAATATTCCTAGCAGGTGGAAATCAGGGTTTCATGGCTCTTTTCAGAGATGCTTGGCTTGGTTCATCCAGGGGTTAAAGAACTGGTTCTCAGGCAAGAGTGGTCAGTACAACCACTTGGAGTATCTTTTCCAAGGAGTACAATTTTTTGAAATACAGATTGACTAATCAGAAGAATAGAATTTTTTATAGAGGAAGGATAACATTTAGCTTAAATAGAGTTCAAAATGTTTTTCATCATCAAGTCAATTGCAAATGTTCATCTGTGAATACCATGTTGAGCTCATGGGCCATACAAAAATAGGTGGTGAGCTGGATTTGGCCTGTGGGCCATAGTTTGCGAATCCCTGATATGCTGACATTATTAAATAAGATAATAAAGCCTTTGCTTTAGAAAGAAAATCATAGTGCCCAAATCTTTCTTTGGTGCTTATGATTCTGTAGGTATGAAAAGGCACAGCATGAAACTGGTCATAACTTAAAAAAATAAATAAAAAAGGATATTCCAAATGATTGTGATGGCCACTGTTGGTTGAGAGCCACTTACTTAACCCTTTGAGGAACAGAGCCAAGCATCTCTGAAAAAAGAGCCATGACACCCTAAGGGGACTTTTTACCTGCTAGGAAATATGGGTGAGATGCTGGTCAAGAGCTGGGCAATAGTTCCAACACAGCCCCCCGATTGCCTTGTGTCACTGGGTTAAGTTTCTCACCGTCTGCAGGTCTCTACTGCCCCATCTATAAACTGAAGGAGTCAGCCAAGAAGGTCTTTGAATTATCAAACAGATAATTTAACAAACCACTCCATTTTATGATCATTATTCATTTCCTGACACACAGGACACTTACTGAAGGTCAGAAAGATGAGAATAAAGGGGTTTCTGAACTTCAAGCATTATTGTCTGATGAATGAAAAGGCATCAGTTTATATGCATAAAAGGAGTCAAAAGACTGTGAGCCTGGTATGGCCTTTTTATTTTTCATTGCGGTATGCCGGCCTCTCACTGTTGCGCCCTCTCCCATTGCGGAGCACAGGCTCCGGACGCGCAGGCTCAGCGGCCATGGCTCACGGGCCCAGCCGCTCCGCGGCATGTGGGATCTTCCCGGACCGGGGCACGAACCCGCGTCCCCTGCATCGGCAGGCGGACTCTCAACCACTGCGCCACCAGGGAAGTCCTGGTATGGCCTTTTGGAGGGAGGAAGGCCAGTGCGCTTGGCAACTAGTGCACAACAGAGAAGGGCAGGAGATGAGGATGTGGCAAAGAGAGAGGCAGCGGCACAATCCTGCAGAGCAAAGTGAGTAGCCTCGTAATAGCGAGGACCAGCCATTCACGGTCAATGGCATGCACTAAAATTGGACAGGTAGGTGAGGGAAACACAGGGGAAGAGACAATATTTGGGCAAGTATTTTTTCCAGCCATCCCTGCTCACTTCATGTCTCCCATTAAATTCAAACTTCCTATCCCAGAGAAACCTGCTCCTGTTTCTAAATGGCAAAATCCAGAAGGAACAACAAAATACAGGGCTTTCAGCCCTCCTTAACTAGGAGGTGAATTTGCAGCAAACTACTTTCTTTTCATGTTTCCTGGGGCTCAGGAGGCCCAGTCCCGGAACACCCAGGCATTCCTCAAATCAGAGAGGCGATATCAATGAGCCAAAGGCACCAGGAACGTGTGCCGCTCGATCCTCCGAGGCCAGGCCATTAATCTCTGTCTGGTTTGGGTAAATGAGCCAAGGAGAATGAGTCTGAAATGAAGCTAGCAAACCATGCCTGCCAGGACTGCACGACTACATGGCCCAGCAAGGAAGGCCCGGGGTGGGGGAGCAGCCTCACCACACACGGGCCAGATGCTGGCGTGGGAACAGCACTAAGGGGCAATGGCTTTGTTCACCCAGCACTTACCAAGTGCCATACGTGACACCATCAAATCTTTTTAACAACGCTGTGGGTTAGGTACTAGTGTTATTCCCATTGTACAGGTATGGAACCTGAGGCCCAGAGAGGCTACATAGTTTGTCCAAGGACACAAAGCTGGAAGGTGGTGTACTAGTCTATCTTGCCGTTGTAGGGATGTTCCAACTGTCATTTACTTTTCCAGGCAGTGGCAAATGCACACAACTACCAAGCCATACCAGCAGCCTATGGTTTGTAAATACCTTCCATTCTGGCAGAAGCAGAGGGCATGCGATTTGCCATTTAGAAATGCTCTGTCTGTTCTGGGGAAACCTTCTTTAGATCTCATAGCAGCCCACTAATGTCAGACTGAGGTTCAGAGACAAGGGCAATTTCCTAAAATAAAAGGTCTCTTTGGCAGTAGCTTCTGTCTTAGGATTGATTAGTAGAGTTATCTTAGGTTTGTATGCCTTAAAGTAAGCCTCTCAAGAGCCTCTGTCTTAAAAGGACAGAACTCAAGTCTCCAGGATCAATTCAAGGGGACATGAGTCACTCAACAATTCCTGAATTATGGCTCCCAGGAAGAATAAATCAGTTAATACACAGTTTCAACAACCCAACTTAAGCTAAAGTCTAACCATCCTGCTTAGCCAGAGGACTCTAAGACCTGGCCACATGCAAGTCTCTGAGCCCTCTGGCTTTCTATAGTACTTTCATTCAGAGATGCGCTAGTTTCTGCTGAACACTGTGCATGAGAATTTGTGAAATATCCATACCAATGAACACTTGTTTTCAAGTGCATGTTTCCAGAGAATACAAATTACATACGTTTACTCTATGTTATCAGGGTCCATCTGAGATTCATTATAAAATAATTACAACAGCAATAACGGATTAATACAAACGATGGTGACAAAAGCCTCATTATGTGTCAGACACCACTCTGAGCACTCTATATGCATTTATCTTGTTTAGTCCTCACACCAACCTAATTATTCCTGACATATAGATGAGAAAACTGAGGCATTAGAGAGGTTAGGTCACTTGTCCAACGTCAGGCAGCTGGAATTGGGCAGAACACAGACAGAAACGCCTACAGTCTGTCTCCAAAGCCCAAGCTCTTAACCACTAACCACGTGATACATAAGACATGATAATGATAATGATGATGAGGAGGAGGAGGAGGATGATGACGACGACGACGCTAAAGGTGATGAGATGTCTGTGCAGCTAGGGAAGGTGAGTCACTGGAAGAAAGAATCTGCCATGAGTTGGAGAGAAAATGAAACTGGGAATGGCCTTTGATTCCAGCCTGAAGCATTCACCACTAACCCACGTGACCAGCTGGCACCTAACACAGAAGTAACACTTCATATTCTTTGAACCACAGGGCTCGATTCTGAAGATAAACATCAGGGCAGGAAAGCAGGTCTTTGATACAAATCACAGGGTACTGCAATTCTATGAGTCCTCACCCAGAAGCTATGATGGGAGTACAATTTAATTAAATCAAAGGAGGGTGAGGAAAGCTTTCATATGCTCCCTCTGCACTAAGACGTGATTTTGCAATCAATTCTGTTCACTGCTGAGCCAATTCAATTTACGTGTCCCTAGAGAATTAAGAGAGAATACAGAGTCATTTGGGTTCCCAGAATTTTTCCACGGGTGTCCTTTATTACCATTATCCAGGTCTTACCAAGAAAGCACAGAAAGGAAATTTTTTTAAACTTATAAATTAAAGGCATAAATAGAGCAATAAGCAGAAAAAGCAATCTCACTTTTCCCTCTGACACACAGCTGCATTAGCACTTGGCTACATCACGCTTTGGATCAAAATCAGCACAAAATGAAAGTGTTGGAGAAATAGATTCATGGGCAAATTCACTAAAATCTGTTGCTCATTTTTCAACTGCACTTGAATTCACACCTAAGCTTTGTCATTCCCAGAGGTCTCTTCCAAGTAGCCTGGAACATCTAAACCCCTCCCACCGGCTTGTTCCTTGGATGTGCACATGTGGGAACACACAAAACAGAGCTACGTGCCCACACCCCAAAACACTGCCCAAGCTGGTTCTACACCATCAGATATAATTTTTGTCCCTCCGCTCTGTGCGACACAATGGATCCACCATCACTAGGACTTTCTCTTTTAAACTGTTTGTCAGGGGTAACAGATTTGTGCTTATCTGCTGCTTCGGTTCAAAGTCCAGATCTACCAGTTACTGGCTATACAGTCCAATCA